TTAACAAAGCGTTGACGGAAATTAATGTCTCGATCAGCGTATACAAAAATTACGATTGCCCTTAATTTTCGATGCATAAATTTTCTGGTTATTTGTACCAAACCCGTGTGTTGAATTCAATTAGTATTTAGAATTAAATATACATATGGGTAAACTTCGAAATGAAAACATTTATTATTTCATATTATTTCATATTTATTCATTAATCAACAAACAGTAAGTTCACAGACTGTGTAGCAAAATTATATTAGGCTTAACATTATCAATAAACAATAATTAGTAAAGTAAAACTATGTTAAGTGTCTTATGAGCAGGCTCTTAAAAGTAAACTTGGTATAGCAAAAGTCAAATCCCAAAGAAAAAGAAAAATCATTTAATTCCGAAAGTGTCCGTCTTATAGGAGCATTCATCGCATAAACTGTTCTAGCAAAACTCACATAAAACATCTCGTTACAACGAAGGATCCGTGAAGGTACATTAAAGCTAATTTTCATGAATAGGTATGAGCAATCGATTAAGCCATTAATAATATCATAAACAACGCACATCGACAGCAGTGAACGTCTCGATTCTAGTGACATGAGACTTATGAGCAAACAACGAGAACTATAGGGTGGGATCGGTTCCAGAAAGTTCAACCGCCGCAGGGCGAAACGTACGAAAGCCCTCTGGACCGACTCCAATCTCCTAATATGAACGGCATGAAAAGGCCTCCAGATAAATACTGCATATTCTAACTTCGACCGAACTAGAGACGTGTACAATACTTTTAAAGTGTATGGGTCAGAAAACGACGAACAGTTACGCCGAATAAAAGCCAACATAGCATACGCCTTAGAAACAACAAAATTTATGTGAGTGGTAAAGCTGAGTTTGGGGTCAAAGTAAACACCAAGGTCTTTAAATTCATCAACCTTTTTTAGCGCAACATTCGAAAGACGATACGATGTTGGGAGATTGTAAACGAGTCTACCATAAGAGGTATAGTGACACTTAGCAATGTTAAGAAATAGGCGATTACGTTCGCACCACTGGAACAAGTTGTCAAGCTCGCCCTGTAGGACGAAAGAATCTTCTAAGGACTTAATTTCAGAATAAATTTTTAAGTCATCCGCGTAGAGAAGAAACTTACATTTTGAGAAGCAAGAGGAAATATCATTAATAAACAGAATAAACAGCAAGGGACCGAGGACGCTTCCCTGGGGAACCCCAGAGGAAGCTACGAAAGAATAAGAAGACGCACCGTCGAGGCGAACGACACAACGTCTGTTGTTTAAATAGGATGAGATCCACCTCAATAATAGAGAGTGGAATCCTAGTATTTCCAGTTTAGCTAAAAGAACTCTATGGGATACTCTGTCAAAGGCCTTCGAAAAGTCCGTGTAAACCGCATCAATCTGAAAACCATTTTGAAAAGAATCCAGGCAATCTTCGGTGAACACTGCTAAATTAGTTAGGGTAGATCTACCCGGAACAAATCCATGCTGTTGAGGACAAAGCAAGTGTTTTACCTCAAAATATATTTTCTCCTTAATTATACACTCAAACAATTTCGACACGGTGGTTAGTTTGGAAATCGGCCTATAATTTTCAATGTTGCTTTTATTGCCGCTCTTGAAGATAGGCGTGATAAAAGTTAATTTCCAAGCATCTATAAAAATGCCAGAAGACAGAGACTTATTAAAAATATGCAGTAACGGAGCAATCAGAGAAGAGCAATTTTTCAATAACACAGCAGAAACACCATCAGCGTCAGTTGTAGTTGACATCTTAAGCTGCTTAATGCCATTAGCAATATCTAGTTCTGTCAAGCTTAACTTTCCAAAGTTGATGGAAGTAGCAAAACTTGACAGAATCTCATCGGGAATGACATCACTAGCGTTGTCTGAGATATAATTCGCGGAAAAATAATTTGCAAACAGATTAGATGCATCAGATAAGGAGTTAGCTGAAACCCCCCTAAGATGCACAGATGTAGGTATATCAGAACATTTTTTCTTTGATTTAATGTAATTCCAAAAAGATTTAGGGTTACATTTAATGTTACCTTCAACTCTTCGAGTATAACGGCGATATAGCAACCTATTGAGCTTATTGAACTTAGCTCGATAATATATAAAACGCCTGCGAATTATTCTTTAAATTCTTCACTCGTTTAAGCTCTTTTGAAAACCACGGTCTTTTATTGGTTTTTGTACTAAGCCTTGGGATGTGACTTATGCAAATATCAAGTATTGTTGTCTTAAAAATATCGTAGCAGCCAGTAACATCCAAGTTTCCCAAAAGCCCAGGCCAGTCCAAATCAAACAAGGTATTCAGATCAAAAAAGTTACAGCGAGAATAGTTAAACGCAACTGGCTGCAAGCCAGATGGTAATTCAAAATATTGATAAAATTCTACTTCCAAGACCAACGGATTATGATGTTGATTTGGGGGTGAAATGAAACTAGCTGCCTGCGAGAGCTTATAGTTTGTATTATAGCTTACAAAAATTAGATCTAATAATCTATTTAATACATTAAAAACATTATTCACTTGTAGTAATTCAATACATTGCAAACTATCAACTAAATAGCATTCAGAAAAAGTAGTAACATTGGCCGGCGTAAGAAAGGTATTACCATCCAAACATCTCCAGGAAACATTACCCAAATTAAAATCGCCAAAAATACAAAGTTGATTGTCGCCAATAATATCTTGAACAGACAAAATGTTGTCGACATGCGCCTTGTAAATATCATCAGAGCTACCAGGTGGAACATAAGACAAGCAAATGAACAGCAATCCACAGGCGCCATTCAACTTAATACACAGTTGATCGAGCAAGGAATCGGGATTGTTCAGCTGAAGAAACGAAGCACGAAGGTACTTGCGTACAGCTACCAGTATTGCTTTCGCTCTCATTGGAAATTTTGAGTACAGGCAAATTAGCATCAGCAGTAGCAGTATCAGTGTTAGCATTGTTATTATTGTTATTTTTATGCACATTAGAGCTTGATTGCTCATTATTTAACTTGTTAGCACTAGCGCGGGTGGGCCGCCTTTGTACACTGTTTTGCCAAGCAACAACATTGTCACCGGCTTTGGCTTTTGTTGTTAGTCGTGTAACCCGCTTATTTTCACTTGCATTGGGAGCCAGGGGAATAGCTCCATCACCCACAGAGTCAACGAACTCTGATAAAACACTTTTTATTTTTTCTAAATCAGCAATCGCGATCAAGACTTTATCTTTAACTGCACGGGTGACACTACAATTAGCACAAAGAGACATTTTGCACACAAAAAAAGCAATAAAAAGCAGTAAAAATGCAATTTAAACGGAGCAGAGAAAAAACACGTCCGCTATATATATCTATATATAACCAGCCAGTAAAATCATCGTAAACGAACCCCAAACTGAATATTTTCTCGAAGAAAAACCGGCTAAAATGTCGTTTATGATAGCCGTTTAAGATTCGTTTTCGAGTACTTTATCGCTTGAAATTGTCGATCGCCTATGAACAGTCGTAAACGGATCGAAAAAGCATTCGTATGCGAATATTATATATTATAAAATATTGTGGTTCAAGAAAATTTTCCAACAGAATGAAAGTTTTTTCTTGTGCTGACAAATAACTACAAGCCTCTTTATTTTATTTTGTTTTTGCTCTATCGTTTACGAGTTTTTCTCTAAGTTTCCGCCGATCGAGAACCCCTCGTGAAACATAATGCTCGTAAAATGTACGTTTTCTTGCTGGGTGGGTATATTTTTGTAGACACATATAAAACTACTCAAATTTCAAATAAGTTTAATATAAAGCGAAAAAATCAATCCAAAATTGACACCAATACAAGTGGCATACATGTGCATGGTTGAGCATGGAAATACCTCCTAAATGTATGCTTTAATATTGACACTGAATTAAATAAATGTGCTAGTCAGCGTATTAGGCTTTGGCAGCCCTATTCTTACAACACTGGCAAAATTCATAGTATGACTATTGTCACTAACACAAATAAAAACACAATATAAACATTGTGCCTCATGCGTAAGAAGTGAGCTTAAGCTCCGACTCGATTTTCATAACAAATTCTTAAGTCTGACCCCACTCCATCAAGGCAAATGTACAATAACAATGACAACTTTGACCAGTGGAGAGTCTAAAATAAATTTGCGGCATATGTAGTATTAGGCGTAGCAGTGAAGACAATAGTCAGCCGTTGAGTTTTTTCATTGGCTTGGGAATACGGCTGCAAGATTTAAACAATGAAGAAGATAAACTTGAATGTGTAGAAGAAGAAAGGGATAAAGGTACAAATTAAAATAAAAGTAAAGAAACTCAAGTTTAAATCTTTAATATAATGACAAATGTGGGGGTGAGAAAATAATTGTTATAAAGATCAGGACAAAGGAAAAGGAAAAGATAAAGATAAAAATGAAAAGATAAAGAACGATAAAGACAAAGGCAGAGGCGGAAATATTCATAGAGATAGAGAAAATGATAAAACTGAGGAGTGAGATTTATTATGTTATGCAAGGTTTTGTAACGTTATGTTTCCCTTCATTTCTGTCATCTTTCACTCAACTCTCCTTAATGTTAGTGTTTGAATTTCAACCGCTAAGCGAACACTTTCATCTTTGTCTTTATCTTTACATATCTTGAATTTGTATATCTTTTCTTAATCCTTCTCTTCATCTACCTATTCAACTTTACCTTCATCCTTGTGTGAACCTTTATCTAAATCTTGTTCTTAAACCGCAGCTTAGCAACTTTCATTGATTCAGTAATGATATGTACATGTTTGGCGTTTGTATTATTGACTTCTGAATTGATTTTTTAGCTTTATATTAAAGAAAATATATTGATATTTAATAATAATTTTTATTCCTTCCTCCAGCATCAAAATAATTTTAGAATTATGTATAATTCTTTATATTTTAGCCTTAAATGGATGCAGGTTAAACACGTTTTGCATATTTATATATCACATAAATATTTCTATAAAAGTATTTCACTCACCTTCAACTGCATTCCTTCATTAGGGCTATTTTCCTCTGCGCCTTGCTTCAAGCCGCTAAGGAAACGTGCGAACACAGTGCGCCTTTTATTCCGATTGCGTCCCTCTGTTTTCAAGCAGATGAATTGTATTTCAATTAATCGCATATTCATTTAACATTTTTCAATCTCAACAGGAGTAGAACCTATTTTTCCAAACATTACAACAAGTATTTTCATTTCCTACCTGTTGCCGAGAATTCATAAAAGAAATTCCGCCTGGCGCCCGGATAACTGTGTTGCATGCCATTCAGGTTAACCGCCGATTTCGAATCAATTGCACTTCGGGCCATGCGATTTGCCAAATCGTTTTGTGTATAGCTGTATATTTCATTCTCCTCACGATTCGTAAGGCAACTAGATGGCTTCAGATACCAAAAAATATACCAAAAATAGTGTTAGTTGAAATAAAAAATGGCCAACATAAACGCAACAACATGATTTGATAGAGTGCATGCAATAAAAATGAAGAACGAAAATTTCAATTTAAGTTTGCAATGTGAACAACGCCGACCGACAACAGCCTCTAGCACCTACACGGCGTATACGTACCGAATACTTCCCTGGCACATACAATGGTTGGCTGTGACTTGTTGGCAAGGTTGATTGATTTGCGATATTGCCGCCAATCATACCGAATCCAACACCTACACCGCCACCACCGCCCATCATGCTAGACATGACGCTGACACCACCACCACTGCTGCTGCCACCCGCTCGCCTTGACAACGTGTGCCCTGTCGAGATGCGCACATGCCGTTCCTTCCACTTGGAGACGCGTACCTCTTCAATTGCGTCCAACACGTCCTCGTACGGCATATTAATCTGTTTGCTATAGTGAGCGGCAAGGCCTTCCAAATAGCCACGTTTGCCCTCCTGCAACAAGAGAAACATGTATAAGAAGCAGTATGAGAAAAAATCTCCTAAAAGCTACTGAGCTGATGTAAAATTCATCGAATGCAAGTAGCATAGGCTTACAGTAATAAAAATTGCAGCATTGCAACACATTACAAGCGCATAAATTTCAATTGAAGAGGCACGAGAAAGAGAGCAATGCGCCAAGGCAGGTTGGGCAGCAGCGGATGAATATAAATGAAACGGCTCCAAATTGTGGTAATTTATCAACAAAATTACTTTTGAAATAAAAAAAAGTTGTCGATTTTAGAAGAGAATTTGTCACTGCCACAGCAATATTTTAGATATCAACATAAGCTCTTCAGTAATTAACAGTCACATAGCAAACTTTCGACATCAGCAAGTCACTCCCCGCGCACATATTTTTAATTCCCTAACTGTCGTCGGCAGTCAAAGTGTTAATATCTTCCGGTTATTAGTAAAGAGCTCCCACTGCAGCCAAGTGAAGCAAACACGCTTATGTGCGTACTCATACTTGGTTATACCTATCCATACTTGAGTTGAATATGGGTGCCTATATTATAAAAGAAAACTAAGCCTCTTCATCAAAATAAAACAGCAGGCAGGTGCGGTGATGCTCGATGAGTCATCATCGCCAGCTTCGAGCTACTTACAGCGTCTGAGCCGCTGCAGAACCATTGCACCCACTCTTAGTTCTGCAGACAAACACCACCACTTACCCATTCAACTTGACATTGAGCACAGGGTTGCCACATTGGTAAATTGTTACCACAATTGGTAGAAAAAATTTAGATTGGTAAAAAGTTCGAAATTTAGACAACATTTTTTTGAATTTTTTCAAATCTTGTATATAGCCTAAATTACGGTGACCATAATTAACCAACGTAAAATAAAGGACTTTTTTCAAAATGATTTGGGAATACATACATACAACTTGTATGATAAAAGTATCTTACCCATATCGTAATTTTAATCAAGTATTTACCAGTTAATTATATTATTTAATTGTCGAAGTTCCAATGCCCTAGCGAAAAATTAAGCCAAATCATTTTCAAGGACTACGACGATGCCAGCACACAGTGGTTCAAAATTGGAATTTAATGTTCATAATCCACCGGAGCCTTCATTTTTCACCCAATTTTTACTTAAAACCAAAAAAGTATTTATATTGGTGAACATTTTTTTATAACATTTCAAATTATTTGTGTATTTTTTTTTTTTTGGGGAGAACCATACAATTGTTATACCCGAGCGCACTTGTACACAAGGGTGTATTAATTTTGTTCACATAACGGTTGTTTGTAACAGCCAGAACGAATCGAGATAGATATAGACAAATGTATACATAAATGCTTAGAATAAATAGAGAAATCGATTAAGCCATGTCTGTCTGTCCGTCCGTCCATGTACACGATAACTCGAGCAAAAGTTGAGATATCTCAACGAAATTTGTAGGTAGGTTGGTATTGAAAATGGGGGAAATCGGACTGTAACCACACCCACTTCCCATATAACGGTAATTTCAAAAAATACGAAAACTGCGATATTTTAGTAACTACTGAAGATAATTCGTTCAAAATTGATATTTACAATAATTTTCAGACGGAAAATAAGAATATTATAAATTTTTGGGAAATGGGTGTAGCCACGCCTACTTATGGATACATGTGTATATCTTGGTAACCGTTGCACCAATTTCTTCCAAACTTGGCACAGTTGTTGGCCTTGGTGCAGCATACTAAATGGCGGAAAATTTAAAAAATCGGACAATAACCACGCTCATATCCCATATAACGGTAATTTAGAGAAATACAAAATCTTCGATAAATCAGTAAATATTAAAGCTAATTTATTCAAAATGTATGCTTCCAACAATTCTTTACCAAGAAATACGTTTATGGTAAAATTTTGGAAAATGGGCGTGGCACCGGCCACTTATGATCACATATATGTATATCGGTAACCGTTCTACCAATTTGTATCAAACTCGGTATTTTTATTGTGCTTGCCACATAAAAGCAAAACGATGAAAATTATTGAAATCGGACTAAAATTACGGCCGCTTTTCATATAACGGTAAATTTCAGAAATGCTTGAAACTGCAATATTTCGAAATTTAAGGACGCTAATTTACTGAAAATTGATACACCCCGGCTTACCATCTAGCGGTAGCTTTCGGAAAGGTGAAAAAACATATATTTAATACTTGCGCCGGGTATTTAATGTTCGGCTCCACCCGAACTTAGACTTTCTTACTTGTTTTTAACTAGTTTTTTTTTATGTAACATTTATTAACTGGAACTGGAAAATGCATTTTCTTCAAAATTAATACTTTATCTGCATTTTGCACTAAAAAATTTAATATAATCAAATAAAAGTTCAGAATTCAGGCTCAACTGGTCTCGTGTAAATATCGTAAGCATTCATAAAAAAAAATTAAAATTAATCATATTAAGTGAAAAATTAAGGATCCAGTGAATTACGAACATTAAATGCCAGTTTTTAACCACTGTGCAGTAGGGGATTTATTGTTCTCTTTCAGTGGAACTGGAAACTCAGCGTACAACACGATCCTGGGTACAACTTTTCCTGTACTTTATAGATTGTACAAAGATTACGGATTAAAGAGAAACCCTTAAGTGGAGTGCGAAACAAACTGGCGAAGGTTTTCATTATATTTTATAAGGGACAGTTTTATTTTTTCATATTCTGGGTTTAAAAATTTATCTCTGAAAAATGCAGAGCCGATTTAAAGGACAGTTTAAGGAATAAAGGACTGAAGGCGTCCTTTATTTTGAAAAAAAATTATAAAGGACAGGGGTTAAAATAAAGGACTGTCCTTTTAAGTAAAGCCGTAGCCTAAATCCTTGATTTTAATGTGTTTGGTTAAAGCGGCAACAATATTTTTATACAAAAAAATATTTACTTAGAAAATACTGTGAATATTAAAAAAAAATCACCAAGCCGTTTCTTAGTCACTTTATTTGTCTAAAATAACACCAGTTGAAGTTTTTTCATATCACGAACTTTTGTTGTTGCCTTTAGTTTCATCACTTTCAACAATTTTAATTTTTTTTTTTTTTTATTAAAATAACGAAAGAATTTTGTTTTATTTAAAAACGATGCTAGTAGATATTTTCCATGTTTGGTAGATTTATTTCAAGTGGATGGTAACTTTTTTTTTCGTCGATGGCAACCCTGATTGCGCAGCCCCATGGCCTTATCATTTTGTACTCACTGCATTGCCGAATGCTGAATTCCCAAACATTCGGGCGAAATGCAGGCGAGTAAAATGTCTGTGACGCGTTTGCACCTTTTGGGGACTAATATTCTCCAGACTGACGGTAGTTGTCTATGCAAATGTAGTGCGCTTATATATGTATATGTTTCTATGTAGATGGTTTGTATGTGTCTATTGTGGTTTTGTGAATTTCTTGAAGAGCAATTAGTTGCGTCGCGCCAGAGTGCTCTGGCGACAAAATGCATAAGCCGCTAGTCAATTTAATGCAGACGCATTAGAGATAAACATGCATATGCATATATACACATATGTAATTATGTATGTTTATTGCTAATGAAGAGAGGACATATTGATGCTAGTTTTCAACTAAGTTGCGTAAGTTAGACTTTTTCTGCTAGCGCGGTTTAGAAATAAAAGTGAATGATGGTTTGTTTTTTGACGTTTTTGAATGAACCCTTTCTCTGTGAAAGGTTCAATTTAAATAAATTTCAAAGATCAGTATTTAAGAATGCAACCTCAACATTTTATTAAGTTAGATTACAAAGCATGCTTATTTTCGGAGCAGTCGACCTTAATTTCTATACTACTATTCGTTGGGAAATAGTATCTAAAATACTCCATTTTAGTAATTCTTTTTATGGCGACTTTTAAAGAACTTGGTGTTTTCAGAACGATGATAATATTTAAAATTGCTGGATTTGTATAATTTTTGTCCTCAAAATCTAAAGAAATAAAAGATATGGTGGTTATCAATGGAAAAAGACGTTCCCAAAAATCGTACGGAAAGGCGATTTTCTATATTAAATAACTTTTGCTGCATTGTCATAATATCGAGCCAAATAAGCTACTGATTCACTAGAATACAGTCGCTGCATGGTTAAATTACGATTTCGCTTATATTATCGATATTTATATGTTTTGATTTATTTAAAAAATCATTTACAGTCTTATAGGAAATTGCCTTATTTTACTGCCTTTACTTTTTTTAAAGTTACTATATTTGTCCAAGCTATGTGGAGCTGCCGATACAAACATATATTCAGGGTTACAAGCCTGTAATTATACACTTTTCTACATTTCATTTGAAATAGTATGCACCAACGGATTAAAATTAGTAAATAATTAGTACCTTTTCTACTACATTAAAATGCGTAACCGGAATAATCCTACCGAAAAAGTGAGGTTAAGTTATTGATAACACCTTGTTATTATTACACCGTGGATCGGATTAAAACCAAATCAGAATGGGACCACCTGTGGGGTAACACCTTTCCTTTAAACAAAGAATTATAGAAATCGGTTAACGTGGTCCAAAGTTATGCGGCAAAATACATAAAAAATAAAATAATAAAAAATAATAATATTCCAATGAATTGATAGCCTTTCTCCTTTTTGTGAAATTGGTTAAAAAGTAGTATTTACATATGCAAATGCATATCGTGTAAGTGCGCTTAAGTAAACTTAAATCTAACATATTGCACTATGGAGGAGCTAGTTCACGGGTGTGTGAATATCTACTCTGGCTAGATGCTTTAGGAATATTTCTGCATCAAAAAGAAAATTTGGAAAAAAAATGTCGCTTACATTATTTTGGCGGTTAGGGCTCGATATTTACAAGAAATCAATGTACAGTTGGTATACCACAATAATCAATTTCAATGACACTTCTTTTTGAAACCTATAATAAATGCTCAAAAATTTGATTCATCTTGTTCCTCATTTTTTCTAAAACAAAAAAAAACAAATAAAAGTATATAAC